CTGCAGCCCCTCGGCGGCTGTCACCGTCAGCACAACAGGCACGGGTGCCGCTGGGTCTGGCTCTGAAGGATCTGGTGGAGGCTCAGCCGAGTGAGCTGAGGGAAGCACCTGTTGTGGACGGAGGCAGGGGGAAGAAAAGAGGGGGACCCGTGTAAAAGGGGGTCTGGGCTTGCCCATGGGTACCAGGAAGCGTGCTCAGAGTAGCATTCGGAGAGGAGAAAAGGACCCAATGAAGGTGGAGCTATTGGAGGTGGGTCCACAGCAGTGGCCAAGTGGACAGATTGGAGGCGGGGCAGCCATACCTGCACCAGCAGCTGGAGGCTGGAACTCCGAGGAGGGCTACCTTGGTCATGAGCACTCAGCGTCAGCACATAGTGGGGCCGCTCTGCTCGAATCAGGGGTGCTGCAGTGAGCAGCTCCCCTGAGTGAGGGTGCAGAGAGAAGAGCTCTGAGCCAGGACCTGGGGATAGGCAGTGGAAAGGTGAGGGCCTGGGTCCCAGAGCTGGGCAGGTCATGAGGGTGAGTCACTTCCATCAACTCCCGTCTCTCCACCCCCGTACCAGTCAGCGTGTACAGGATGGTCCCATTCTCCCCTTCATCTGGATCCTTGGCCTGCAGAGTCGTCACCAGTGTCCCTGGAGGCACTCGATCTGGGACCTGTGGGGACACACAACTCGCCTACAGTTGTCTCTTTCCTGTTCTTGAGACAACCCAGGATGGAGTTCCCCTCACCTGTGTGCAGACAGAGCCCCTTTTTTGCTCTCACATCTGTTTCAAAAGGCATCTCTCTTACCTATACCTACAGCTTTATGGGGCGATGCCCATCCCCTCTCACTTCTTCAGGATAGGGTCCTTCCCCCGTCACATACATACCTGTATGGGGAGGCCCCCACCAGCAGCCCCTGAAGCCTGCAGGAAGGTGGGACTGTTGTCGTTGAGGTCGAGCACGGCGATGTGCACGGTGCCTGTGGCACTGCGAGGTGGGCTGCCCCCATCCTGCACCCGCACCAGGAGCTGGTAGCTGCTCTGCCGCTCTCGGTCCAGGGTTTGGAGGGTGGTCACTTCTCCTGGGAGTGCAGAAGAGGGGTCATGTATGGAATAGCTAGGGATGCAGAGCCAGAGGCCTGTAACTGAGAAGCTGGGGGTTGGGGAGTGTGGGAGGGGAACCGGGGTGAAACTCCAAGTTTAGTGCTGGTCTTCATGACCAGGCTCTCTGGGGATCCTGTCTGATGGTTCACCAATCTGAGGATGAGGCCATGGGGTCTCAGAATTTGGGTGCCAGTACTCACCAGTCTGGGGGTGGATGCGGAAGGCCTTGCTGTCTTCTGACATCTGTCGCAGGCTGTAGGTCAGGCGTCCATTGGGTCCCGAGTCTCGGTCGCTGGCATAGACCCGGCCCACGCTGCTCCCTGGGGGCTGGTTCTCTGCCACAGCCAGGAAGGTGGGTTCCTCAGACAAGCGGGGGCTGTGGTCGTTCTGATTGAGGATGCTGACCCTGACAGTGGCCGTGCCTGTCTGCTGCCCCGACTCAGCTTTGGACCCAGACACTGCCATTACCTTTAGTGTGTACAACTCCTGGGACTCACGGTCCAGTGCTGCCCGCACCCATAGCCACCCGCTCTGTGGCTCTAGGCCGAAAGGGCTGCTTGGCCCATCTCCTGCAAGGTGGTAGGTGACAGAGCCCCCATCAGGTGCTCGAGCCTTCACTTGCAGAATCTGAGTTCCAGGGGTGGTGCCCGAGGGCAGGTCCACACGGTAGGTAGGGCTGTCGAAGTGGGGAGCCAGCCCCCGGGTGACCAAGTCCTGTATCACCACCCGCAGTCGAAAGTGGCTGGTGCGGGGTGGGGAGCCTCCATCCCGGGCTTCCAGGTCTAGTTCATACGCTGGCCCCCCTGGGGCCCCCAGAGGTCCTATAAGTCGTACGTGGCCTGTGGTGGGGTCCACGGTGAAGACCCCGCCACCTCCATCAAGAAGGTTAAAGGTGACTCGACTGTTAACGCCGGAGTCTGGGTCCAGGGCACGCAGTGTATAGATGAGGGTCCCTGGGGCCGTGCTTGGTGGCAGCAATACCGTGTCTTCAGGTGCAGGGAAAGCAGGGGAATTGTCATTCACATCATCCAGCAGCACACGCACCCTAGCTACAGCGAAAGCTGGAGGGACTCCACTGCTTGCCCGCACCTCCAGCTCCAGCACTGGCCCCAGCAGCTCCCGATCCAGAGGGCGAAGTGTCTGTAACAGCCCCGAGGCCCCATCTAGGGAGAAGAGTCCTCGGGGATCCCCACCTGATAGGGCGAGTGTCACTGGCCCCAAGCGACCTAGGGAGGAGAGAGTGGTCAGAAAAGAGATGGAGGGGCATCTATTGAGTTGGGACCAGACTCTGATCCCAAGAGGGGTTACATAATGCTCACTCCTGTGCCCTTCAAAGGAATAGGGGGCGGGGCAGGTGTTGGCAGAGAAACTGGATGGCACTAGGGTGATTTTCACGTGGCCGAGGATGAAGCAGAGCACCTGCACATGCCTAAAAGGTGTTGGGAATTGGAACCAGAGTGTTTTACATTGGGGCTACCTGGGGTACCCTGATATAGAGACAGAGGGCTATATTGGGGAGTCTGGGTATGGTGCTAAGTGGATATAATGATAAATGATACCTGGTGGGTTGTGTGCCTGGACTATGCCCACACTGGTGCCTGGTGCCACATCCTCTGGCACAGAAAAGACATACTGTAGTTGTTCAAATATGGGTGGTATGGGGGTTCCAGGCACAATGCTGATGTTGACTCGGGCACTGAGCTCTGCCTTCAGGCCACCTCCATCCTGAGCCCCAATCTCCAGCTGCACCACAGAGTTGACCTGCCTGGCCAAGGGCCAGGCTACTGTCAACAGCCCTGGGAAGAGGGATAGAACAGAGATGTATAAGGAAACAACAGAGTTGAAAGGGGGGCAGTGCTTCATTTAGGCAGGCGGGAAAGGGGTGTGGGATAAACCCTGGGTATAGAAGGATCCTCACCTGAGTGCTCATCCAAAGCAAAGAGTGGGGGGCTATTGCCAGCCAGGATGTGGTAGGAGAGTCGCCCATGGGGCCCCTGGTCGGGGTCATGAGCACGCACCCTCAGCACGGCTGTGCCTGGTGGACTCTGGGCACTCAGACTGGCGGCATACTCCCGTGGATAGAACTGAGGTGGGTTATCATTCTCGTCTGACACAAACACCTTCACATACACTATGGACTTGAGGCCTCCCTGGTGAGATATGTAGCCATAAGTCAGGTGGGTTTTATCTGGCCCTGGTGAATGCTCTATCCCAATGTCCCAACCTGCCCACGGTCTGCCCACTCACCCCATCCACAGCCGTCACTGTGAAGTCGAAGCTTGAGGGTCCCTGGTCACGGTCCAGGGTCTGAGTCGTGCACACATCACCACTGTGGGCATCAATGCGGAAAGGGGGAGACCCCGAGGCCCCAAGTCCGGCACCCAAGGAATAGGAGAGGAGGCCAAATGGGCCACTGTCTGCATCTGTGGCTGTCACCTGCGGGAGAGGCAGGGGTGAGTGTTGCCACATCTTTTTGGCCAGAAGAGCCAGAGCTACATGGCAATTAGGAAGAGCAGGCCCTGGGCCACCTGGGGCTCAGAGTCGCTAGATGGTGGACACACAGAGGGAATTAGTAGGACATAAATAAAAATGCATTGCCTGTGTGAGGTTCCTATGAGCCTCTTGTCACAATATTTTTGTCAACTTGTCAATACATAACCTTGTTTTATGTGTGTTTCTGTTTAAAGACACCTAACTTAATATATATTACTAGAGGCCTGGTGCATGAATTCATGCACAGGTGGGGTCCAGCCAGCCTGCCCCATTGGGGGCTGATCGGGCTGGGCCAGCAAGAGCTGGGGGAGAGGAAGGAGGGAAGGGGACGCAGGAGGTTGGCCGGGTGCAGTGGGCGTCATAGTGACCGGTCATTCAAGTATGAAAGTCATTCCAACGTTCCAGTTGTGGGCTTTTTGTGTGTGTGTGTGTGTGTGTGTGTGTGTATAGATATATAGATATATAGATATATAGATATATATTAGAGGCCCAGTGCACAAAATTCGTGTGGGGGGATCCCCTCAGATCATCCCTCACTAACACCCCCCCCCCCTGCTGGCCTTGTCGCCCCACGCAGCCTGCTGTTTGGTCATCCATCCAATTGTTTCAGTGGTGACAGCCCCTGGCTTTTTATATATTAGGATAGATTGATTTATTAACATTGAACACATGGCCAATGGTGCTATAACTCTTATCTGAACGAAGCTAATCTGAACACACATACTGTTTTCTCCATAAAGCACATCACAGCCTTCTTGTGCTTAGGAACACTAGACAGCACTTTAGCACCACACCCGGGGACCACTATATATTAGAGGCCCAGTGCACAAAATTCGTGCGGGGGGATCCCCTCAGCTCAGCCTGCACCTTCTCCAATCCAGGACTCCTCAGGGGATGTCTGACTGCCTGTTTAGGCCTGATCCCGGGGATTGGGCTTAAACCGGCAGTCAGACATCCCTCTCACAATCCGGGACTGCTGGCTCCTAACTGCTCACCTGCCTGCCTGCCTGATCACCTCTAACTGCCCCGCCTGCCAGTCTGATCACCCATAACTGCCTCTGCCTGCCGGCCTGATCGCCTCCAACTGCCCCCCTGCCGGCCTGGTCGCCCCACGCAGCCTGCTGTTCAGTCATTTGGTCATCTCTCACTAACCCCCCTGCTGGCCTTGTCGCCCCACGCAGCCTGCTGTTTGGTCATCCATCCAATTGTTTCAGTGGTGACAGCCCCTGGCTTTTTATATATTAGGATAGATTGATTTATTAACATTGAACACATGGCCAATGGTGCTATAACTCTTATCTGAACGAAGCTAATCTGAACACACATACTGTTTTCTCCATAAAGCACATCACAGCCTTCTTGTGCTTAGGAACACTAGACAGCACTTTAGCACCACACCCGGGGACCACTTTAAACAGCAAAATCACCAACAAAAAGCACAAAAATGCAAAAAAAACCTGGCACTAAACAGACTGCATAAAGGACTCTTGCTTACAGTATAAGAGCTGAAACGTGAAGGCAGAGTCTGGCCATGTTCAGCCTCAGCTGAAAATGTGTGCGTTAGGTAACTTGAATTTTTCATCACTCTGCCCATGTCCGTGAATGACTGCAAAAGTTCCATGAGTACTGATTTTAGGGTCACACCTAAATTTTAGAGAGTCAGCAAACTGACAGATAGACTAGTAGAATCTGCAGAGAATTAGGACCAATTTCACTTATGAAGAAGAGTGCTAAAGGGCTCTCACCGCAAATTCTTGGTGGATCACAGGTAGTGAATAACATCACCAAGTCTCATCATGACTCCAAGCAGAGAACTGGCTGACTGATAAAATTATAGAGGCTGACGTCGTAGGGTTACTCTTTACTGAGTTTGGTCATTACAGAATGAGATCTGACTGATACTGGGATTTGATCACTGAAGTGATCAGGTCTGCTCTATGGATTTATGGATGTGGCTCATGCAACGTTAGCTTCCCTTTCACCTCTCAAGCAAACTTCATTGGAAGTGGGAGAGGGAGAATTGCAGGTCTATATTATATTGCAAGTCCAATATTGAAGTCTTTCAGATGTAGGGGCTCTCCAAAACTAAGAAATAGGGAAAGTCTTTCCTGGTTAATTCTCAGTAATCTCCCAGACTGGGTCAGAAAACGTTGAACGATTGGACACCAATGTCAGGAGCCTCTGAACATTTCAGAGCTGGATCAGCAGGAGACACTATTATAGGAGCTCCGAAGGCCAGGATAGGGCCAGGCATATCCTAGATCCTCTATGTGTATTTGTTCATTGAGTAAACGGACATTCTGATTGCCCTGCCTCACAACAAAAACTTCTTTCAAACTGACTTTTATATCATGGGTGCACATTAGGGCCTCAATAGTGGACTAGCTGGTGCCGACTGCGGTAGCCTGTGACAAAGTGCTCTTTGTGGATATAAGCGCCTCAGGGTCATGATATGCTGTAAAAGGAAGCTGGAGAGTTCCCCTTTCTGAGCCAGAAAATGTTGCTCAGGGAGAAGGCTGGCCAAGGACTTCTAATGGTTGCCTGGGACCTTGACAGAAATGATTTGTGCCATTGTTTACTCTCCTGAGAGACACTGAGACCCTGCCATGGCTGGACCCTGGAAACAGCTCCCACTCCAACTCTTTACAGTGGCCGTGGGCCCGATATCCCAGGAGACAAACTTCCCCTGCATCAAGCCTGCAGGCTGCAGCACAGCTGCGGCACCATCTCCAGAAGCTGTTAAAGACCTTTGCCCTCTGACTCACTGCAGGAAGAAAGCAATAAATAGTGGTCGGGGGAAGTTGTCAGGAACTGACCCCAGAAGGTGCAGCGGCCATTGACTGGAAATGACCAAGGCAGAAGCGAATTTCCCAGACTCTGCAGCCCCTGCTCAGAGGCTCCACTGCAAATGCACAATCTCCATTTCAGCAGACTCTCCACCCTGCTACACAGCAAGCTCTCCCCAAAGCTGTAACTCTTATCCCCACCCCACCCAAACCTCTCATCAAATGCACTATTTCAAGGAGAAAATAAAGACCCTTATCTGTGAACTCTCTAAATCTCCTAACAGACCACAAACTTACTGCACCAGCCCATCCTGACCTCCT